ACGTTATCTGTTCAGCATCAGTTACCATAGCGATTTAGCTAGACTAAAAGGGAGACACTTCTGTGAAAAGGAAACTACGAGTTTAACCTCGACACAGCTTGCTAAGCCATTCATCTCAGTTCACCAGAAAGGCCTCCTGGGTAACCTGATGTCTCACTTGCTGTTCTATTTCTTTTACATATTTGTAGTAAACTAAAAAAAATCTGGAATATTATATGCACCTCACAGGTAAAATAAAAAACTAATTGTCTCCTCATTTGTTCTTTCCCACAGCATATAACTCCCCTTCTTCACCCAAAGTCTTTCAATTTACTCAGGCAGCACTAAGGTGTTGATTGAAATTTCATTGACTCCACACAAATCCCTGGGCTCTAATCCTCATAATTCTGGCATATTGTATTGTTGTTAACCTCTCACCGCCTGGTAAATACAAATCCTTCCACCTTTCACTTTCTAGTCCATGGATAATTGCTGTAACTTCTCCTCAGAAGCATTCCCATGGGGAGTACCAAGAAGCACATGTGAAACAAACACAGTTGTGCTTGTCACTGTGATACAGAGATTCAGTATACTGGAGATCGCCTGGCATGGAAAGAAGAGGTCTGCCATCATCGACAGAGCAGACACAGTGGCTAATTAGACCTTTGCAACCTCCCAGTGGTGAAACACTTAAGAGTTGAAATTCTAATCTTTAAGGCTATTCCCTGCTGAAGCCAAAGCTTGTTATTTAACAAAATGGAGATTGCTTACTTACAGCTGGATCTCTTTGAGTAGATGCCATAATATATATTATTTTAATAAAAACAAGGAAAACTGATCAATAGAGACAAAATGTATGGCCGTAATCGAAATGACTTTCCTGTCTGAGTGTTGGTCAATCCAATGAGCATTGTCAAACAAATCCTTTTTCTGCTGGCAAATACAAACAGTTGTAGTCAATCATGCTCATTAATTAGAAGTTAATAGGCCTTGACCTTATTAAGTTAAAAGACACCACTTATTCAAAGATTTAAGGGAGTGTGTGGATACATTTGAGCCTGTATACTTTTAAAGTTGTGTGGATTAAAGAAAATCTAAAATAAATTCAAGCTCATTAAAGATGTATGCTGTGCAATCATTCCTCCCTTGAACAAGAACAGTTCAAAGAAATCATTAAACACCCCAAATTACCATGACACTCATGCACATGATGAATGCAAGTAAACTTCTGACCACAACTGTAGGTCAAATGCATCAGAGGGCATCGGAGGGCAGGCCCATTGGAAAGGGGTTAAGGAACGTGCCACTGTCACCAAAAGAAGAAGTCACTGGCTGTAGCTGAAATGAAAGGACATATTATAGGCTGCTGATTACCACATCGTATAACAAACCCAGGTCTGACTAGCCTGTGGCATGATGAAATGGTCAGAACCATCATCAAAGTCACCCCCACATCGAAGACATCTCCAAGTCTCCTCGACAATTATCATTGGGATATTGTGTTTCTAAGTTTTAAACATTACAGCTAATGTCAGTACAGGTATATCGGTACATCTCTAATGTTATTTTGTTTTATATCTTTATATCTATCCTTAGAGGTATGGAATCCAGATTGTAAAATGCAAAAATCTGGGACTAACAGATATGCACGTCTGAACTGAGTTTTCAAGTCATTAGGTAGCTTGAAATGTTGGATGCATCACTGATAATTCACTAGGAATACACCAGTCACTGTGTAAAAGGCCAGACATAAAAACAGCCAGTACTTCTCAAATAGACAGAGCAAAAGAGAAGTAAAAACTTCACATTCGTACATTAACTGAACCCAGTCATGACCTACAACAGGGTAAAACAGGTTATCAGTGGGTTAGCTCATATTTTAGACTGTCAGGGGTTCCTCACTAGCACTTTTCCAGCATTTAGATGCATCTCTTCATATATTTATGTGTCATTCACACATTGGATGACTTGTCTAACATTTTAGATAAAAGGGTTCACATTGTCTGTCTTGCTGAAAGAGCAAGAGGGGCCGCATGCGTGCATTTATGTGCGTCTCTGGCTTGTGCACCTGTGTGCTACAGAGAGAGAAAGCACACAGTCTGTGGCTGAGGAAATCATGCCTGATGAGTAAAATCATAAATACAGTCATTTATGTTACAGTATTGTTGATTCAGATCACTGTTCACTGCAGACCAAAAATAACCTTCAAGCCACTGGACAACCAGAACTGGGGTTCCCGATAGCCAATCTGCCACTACACGCCACCAGTTTCTTTAGTTGTACAGAGCTTGATTTGCCTTCTTGGACTTAACAAGTAAGAATCAATTATTTTTTAGCAAACAAAATATAATTGTATATCATGTGTCAATCATTATGTAACCCCACCGATTTTACCTCACCAATCCTTACGGATATTCCAAACCACAGGAGTAGCCTAGAGGCAAACAGTCATAAACCATCAATCAATATACAATGGCTTATTAATTAATGATTGGTCAAATGTTAGCACATTATCCTGTCATAACTGTTTGCTTGCACACTTCTATATAAGGCAGTTCTGCAAAATTACTGGATCTTGGCAATCGATAAAAACCGCATTCTAGCTGTCCACTGAGCTCAATCAACGTCAAACTGTAACCACGCTGGTATGTGAAAAATTATTTGACTAAAGCACTTTTGATGCTTTCGGCTCCACGCAGATAACATCGCATGCAGTGATCCACAAGATTGAATCAGAGTGAAACTGACTCCTGTAACTCAATATGTAAATGTCAGCCAGGCAAGGTTCACTTGTAGCAATTATCCATGTACAAGATCTTTGATTAAGCCAGCACGGTGCAGTTTACATTGATTGAGAGAGTACATTTCTAAACGGCTGCTGTCTCTCATGATACTTTTTTCCTTACCCAACTCACTGATTACTAGGAGGTGTGGTGGTCATTCTTCCGGTGCACTGATGTATAAGTCAGTTAGCCTTTAAATAGGTGTTTTATATTTGAACAAGAGCACACTTTATAATCATCAACTTTTAAATATCTAAAAGGTTTTCTGTGAAAAAACATCTTGATAGCAAATGTAAAACAGAATGTAAGATTTTTAAAGTTAATGTTGGCATCTCATTACACCTTTATGGTTCCATCTTCATCTTATCTCATCAGATGCAGTCCAAAGGTCTTTTTAATTCTCACTAGAAAATTGGTTGAAAATCATATGAAATATTAATAAGGTGTAAAAATAGCATATTTGTGAGCTAGTTCTTTCCTTTCTTTACACCCTATCTGATAAAATATCAAACTAATCAAGCTCCTCTTGTAACATTTTTAATTGGAAGCAGTCCGCCGGCTACACGGCTTCACAATGTGAGCTGCATAATAAAAACGATTAAATGTTGATATTTATTTAAAATTTTGAATATATATACACACAAAGAGAGTGAAGAAGTGAGATTTTGCTTTCTACTTCCTAAAAAAAAGATAAAGATATATATTTTAGCTTGATTTGTCAGTCGAAGCTGGTTGTGAAGCAATCACACCTCGGCATGTTCCTTGACTCAAGTGTGACAAGCGGGACTTGCCCAACATGAAACTGTGAGTGACATGCTGCTGGTTGGTATGTGCTTCACTTCACACTTATATGCTCCTGCAATGATGGACAGCACACACACACACACACACACACATTCATCTCCACGGGGAGAGATGTTCCAGACATAGGCCATACAAGACATAAATGATCCACAGTGCCCGAAGAATATGTTACAGTGAGTTGATTCATTCACGTTGTCAGCAATCTATCTCTGTTATTCTCTTGCTTCAAAGGAGAGACTTCAGCTCCCCTGCTGCCTTTCAGCTTCTGTAAGCATTCCACGGCTTTGCTGCACATGATTTTGAAATTGCTTATCAAACACAACACAAAGGATTATCCCTGACTCACATCAACAAATAACATGGCGTGAGTTTATCTTATAAGATTAATAAACATGTTTTCACGATTTAGAGAAGTTAGACTTGTACAACACCAGTGAATGTAATTGTGCAAGACTCCAGCAGTGATATTAATGCAGGAGAGCATGTGCACTTTGTAACATAATTAAAAGTTGTCCAGGGGAAGGGACTGCTGCAGGGTGCAATTACTCATAACTGCCAATGTGATAACATGAAAGTCTGCAAATTTCTATATTGTGCACAAATTTAAGCATGTTTCAAATTGGTGAGACACTTTCTTTCACAGGTTGTGTGAACGCGTGCGTGCACGTGTCAGATTAGGATCTATGGGTTTACACAACATGCATCACACATACACACATGTGAATGAATGGACTGTTTAAGCTGCTATCCTGTCTGACCCTTGTGCAGTGTCTGTTAACTTGACCAGTATTATCCATTATCATATTGTAATATGATTACCTTTACATCACATTCAGCGACCCTCATAGCCACTCTAGACATTCAAACCTACGTGGCGAGTAAGCCCATTGTACTCTTGATTCATGACAAGCTTACAGCTGTCACCTCATCATGCCTAACATTAAAGCTAAATCAATAAAAGCTTACATGCCCAGCAAACACTTGTACTTTCATGATAGCCATTTCATGTTGTTGCAGATTTTTTTAACGGGCCATTGATTTGGCAGACGCAAACAAAAACAAGGTGGAATTGCATTTTCAACCGTTTATAATGTAGTTTTGAAGCCACTAAGCTTGTCTGGGTTGGATGCTGCATATAATTAATGTCTCATTGTTTGTGTTAGACAGGGTCATTGAGGTTAATTGAGTCTTACTTCAAAATACTGGCTGGGAGCCACACGTGCAGTCTTTACTGTATATTCATTTTAATTAATATAAAAGGAGTAGGCAGCAAGCTTTGCCAAGACTAATGATGGGCAAATGCTGTGTAAACAACAACAAAGGCTGGCCCTGTTCAGCTGCCTGTGCAATATTAGCAGACATAGCGTCTAATCGTACTGTGGCTGTCACCACTGCTCTCTTTCCGTCGCTGATAGATGGGCTACTCGAGTGAACTGAGTAGAGAGTAAAGATAACCTCCCAAACAAAGCCTTGTGGGTACTGGATGCTGGAGCGCTTGCAACGCACGCCACGATACCAAGCTCTCACACTGCATCTCTTTGAAGCACACTCTGGAGCAAGTAAACACGCTTTAAGGGGGCTTTGTAGATGACCTTTCTGTAACTCTTAACTAAAACACCAATAATTAGCCATATGTTTATATGCGCATTCTAAACTTAAACGCCTGATACATTGCAGTTTGCACGGATTCAAGTCCACCTCTCAGGACGAAAATCAGCGTTAGTGAGCATTCATCTTTTTCCATTATCCAAAAAGTATTCACTCTTGTTCACTATCACTTTAGAGTGACAATGTTGCCAACTGAATTGATCTGACAAGTAAAGAAACTTCAACTTAAGAAAAAAAAAGCAGTTTTTGATAGTCAATGCATCACTTGATTCTTTTATCGAGATAAACGGTTATGATCTCTTGTAGGTACCTGCACTGTTGACTAACAGAGAAATAATCATTAGCTTTAATCATCCATGCATTTTTTGACTGCTTCTATCACCAGACATTTTCCTGTTATGTTTTTATTAATTATTATTTTTTCCTAGATCATCTGTGACATTTTACCCTATTTTACCCACATCTCTGCAAATCTCTATGGCTACGTTCACACTGCAGGCGAAAGCCCATCAAATCCGATTTTTTGACCCTATGCGACCCATATCCGATCATGGTATGACAGTGTGAACGGCACAAATCCGATATTTTCAAATCCGATCTGGGTCACTTTCGTATGTGGTACTGAAACCAATACATATCCGATGTTTTAGAAAGCGACTGCTGTTTGAAGGGTCATGTCGCATTAAATCCGTCTTTTACGTCACTGACACAAGACAGACGCCAATTATTAGCGCCGGAGAAGCGCCCGATAAGACATCGCGAACACTTCGTGGCCAAAAATTGGAATTGAGCATTAACACCTGCAGTGTGAACGTAGCCTTTGTAAGGAAGGTGCAGCATTGCCTCATTTGCTGAGATGAACAGCAGACTTTCTAGGCTTGGGAGCCGACTTTGAATATTACTTGACTCTATATAACATCTTCT